GTCTTCTGACTGTGAGTGGGACATCATCTGGGGGGTGGGGGTTGCCTCTCTCCACTGCTGACCCAATCGATGGCTGCCATGTTACTACAAATGTTCAAGAAGACGCAGAAAATAATGACTTTACTAAAACTTTTTTTATAACCCTTAAATAAGAACAGCTAAAATGTGATTCTACTTGCCATCTAAATGTAACGGTGGTCAGGTAGACCCTCCTCCAGAGCAGACACCTCGGCAGACAGCTGGTCCCTCCATGGAGCAACACTGCCTCCTACACCTTCTCCCCCTCCTAATCCTCTGCGGCCGTGATGTCACCAGCTCCCAGGCAGCACATGCCGTTATGACCTGTAGGAAAAAAATATATATATATATTTACTTTTATTCAGTCATCTATCTTTTTTTCATTATCTTTAATACATAATTTATTAGAAATTAAATTTTACTTCATCTAGATCCACTATTTAACTTATTTTTTCGTTTTTATATTTTGATTTTATATATATATATATATAATTGCAAATAAAGTCAGGCAGTAAGGGGATAACAATTTAGACAAAAAAGGATTTATTTCTCAACAGTTTGGCTTCTCAACACAACATTAGTGATAGTGAAAGTAGTGATTTAAGTCAGTTATTTACAGGGTTTGTACACATTTAACTATTCAAATTACTTATTACTTATTATAAACAAATAAATTACAAACTTACAAATAAATATAAAACTTGATATTTAAACCTATTCATCAATCTGCTGACAAGCGTTTATTTAATAACTGGTATATTCTGATCATTAGCAGGCCCCTGTGGGTTAGAATAATAGCAGGTAGATCTTACCTCTCCACTGCGCTCTGCCAGCCTGAGAAAAATCCGTCGCAGGTTTTGCTGCCGCCGAAGCCGTCAAAGCGACTCTCCTCCTCCAATAACAAGTAAATAAAAGAAATAAAAATGTCCATATCTATTTTTTTGTTGTTTCTTTCCGTATTTCTCGAGCTGTCGGATTTTGTTTCGCGCTGTGTTTGGGGTAAACGTGATGACGTCGTGTCGCAACCAGGAAGTGCTCCAAAGGCTAGACCGTCCCATTTACCAACGGCTGAGCATCCTCCGGAGCAGCCTACCAAGTCTGGGTCCTCCGGAGGCTAGGTAGGCTGCGTCCTCGGAAGTACGCAGCCTGCGAATTGAGACGCAGCTAAAGACATCGTTATTCTGCCTTCAAAATGTCCACCTCCACTCCACTTATTAGAAATTAGATGCACCTGTTTGAGGTCATTAGCTGTATTAAGACACCTGTCCACCCCATACATTCAGTTAGAATCCAACTACTAAGAAGGCCAAGACCTAAGACCTAAGTCCAAAGACACTAGAGACTAAATTATATACTTCCACAAGGCTGGAAAGGGCTATGGGGAAATTGTCAAGCAGCTTGGAGATAAAAGGTCCGTTGTTGGAGCAATCATTAGAAAATGGAAGAAGCTAAACATGACTGTTAATCCCCTTCAGACTGTGGCTTCATGCATTATCTCAACTTTTGGGGTCTAAATGATCCCAAGAAAGGCAAGAACTGGTCAATGACCTGAAAAGAGCTGGGTCCACCGTTTCCAAGGTTACTGCTGGTAATACATGAAGAGATGATGATTTGAAATCATTTATGGCACGAAAGATTCCCCCTGCTTAAAACAGCTCATATCAAGGCCCGTCTTAAGTTTGCAAATGACCGTTTGGATGATCCAGAGAATTCATGGGAGAACGTCATGTTGTCAGATACCAAAATAGAACTTTTTAATTAATAATTCCACTAACCGTGTTTGGAAGAAGAAGAATAATGTCTTTGCTGCATAAAGCCCACGTGTCTTTATGCAGCTAACGACCTCAAACAGGTGCATCTGATTTAGGATAATAAATGAGTGGAAATTGACATTTTTAAGCCAGACTAACAGGTATTTGAGGGTCAGAATTCTTGCTGACAGACGGGTGTTCAAATACTTATTTGCAGCTGTATCATACAAATAAATAGTTGAAAAAAATCATATATTTTATTTAGATTATGTCTCTCACAGTGGACATGCACCTACGATGACAATTTCAGACCCCTCCATGATTTCTAAGTGGCAGAACTTGTAAAAGAGCAGGTTGTTCAAATACTTAGTTTCATCACACTATAGAAATTTTTTTGCATTCTAGGAATTTTCTTATAATCTCATTAAAATTGTTCACATCAGGAAATGTGCATTAACATTCAGCAAAGAAGAACCAAACAATTTGCTTGGACATCATAAGATTAATTTGGATATCATAAGTGCAGCTAAAAATTTAAAACAATTAGACAGTTATAAATCTTTTAATTTTACATTTATTCTGTCTAATTCACATGAAGCAAACTTTTCATTCAGTACCAGCAGTGTGTTATTATGATCTTTAGCTGTTTAAGTTTTTTTGATAGCGCTCTAATTTCTCTCTGTTGTTTACAGTCTTTAGTTGCACCTATGTTAGTTAATTCCTTCCGTGGATTCATGTTTACTTATTCCATGTGTCCCTTTCTGTTTGCTCCTACTAATTTATCGCCTCCCTCAGATCAATCAGCGTTCACTTATCTCCATCTTATTGAGGCATGCTCTGCCTTACATTTCTCCACCCATGTATACAAGCCCTCTGGTCATTGTTCATTTATTCTTCTATTGCAGGGGTCACCAATAAAAAATCAGCGGGGTCCAAATAAAGAAAATCAACAACCAGTAAAGGTCCAGAGAAACAATTTAACACTGAAATAAAATGAGATGTTTATGCATCCATATTATACATTGACTTTTCAAATAAATAAATAAAATTAAAAAACTGAAAATTTTTTACATTTTAAATTGTAGTGTTTTTTGAAGTAGAGAACAACAATCGTTCAGTTTGGTATATAGACAATTTCCTGATTCACATATTTTATAAAACACCTAAACGGACCATTTGTTATTTTTTTTCTGTCTTTTTTATGGCTTAATGAGAGCAGTATGCTTTAGGCTGCCCTGCAAGGCTTTAAACCTGGGTTTAAATGGAGACAAAGCCATTCTAAAGCACATATCAAGGTGCTCATTTTGAGCCTGGATCCATATTTATTTTAGATTCTGTTCATGGTGGAGAATCCTGCTTCACAGCAGCAGGTTGAGCCAAACAAACTCAAAATGTCCAGGGTCATCTTTGAGCACCATTTCGCTTTTCTTTCACCAGTTCACCACAGTTCTTCCAGCAGTCCACACTTTCTTTCATTTTTTCTCATCTTCTTCTCCTTCTTTCCCATCGCCCGGCTTGCCACAGGTTTGCCTGCTGTGTCTAAAAGTAGCAGCAGCAGCAACCCAGACTGACAGCAGCTCATTGGCTAATTTGGATCACGTGTAGCCTGGTGCCGGACGCACCGGAGGGCTTTACCGTATTAACAGGAGAAGCGGCGCAAGTGAAATTAGACACTGACGTTAGCTAACATGCAGTAATTTATAAATGTTTTAAAACAGGTTGGGTCCGGATTAGCCAGCAGGTGGGTCTGGATCCGGACCATGGTCCCCTAACCCGTGACCTCTGCTCTATTGCAATGTCTGTTCTCCTCCGTTTGACATCCATATTCTTGCTGCCTTTTTTCTCTTTCCATTCTCAGTGTCCCATGATTTACCGTTTATATTTTTCATCATTAAACTCTGCTCTAATATTCCTGTCAATAATTTATTAGTTCTCATAAACAATCTTTCTCTGAACAACTAAATTAGTTAGTTTTGACCAATACCAAGGTTATAAACTGTAAAAAAAAAATGTATTAATTGGCAGATAAAAATATGATTTACAGTTATTAGCAAATGGCTAGAAAACCACATCTCTTTGTTACCTGAGAGCTTTTAAAGTTTTATGATGCTTTTTAAAAATTTTATTGCAGTCTCATTAACTCAAACACATGAATCGTAGACTACAGTTTGCCCCTGGTCTTTAAAATAGAGGTAAAAAGCAAAAATTTGTCCATCAAAATACCACTTTATATAAGTCATATCTTGGCTTGGGAGATCATTTATCATTCAGTTATCACTCATAGTGTCAGGTTTTTTTTTTCTTGTTTTTCTGTGTGTTTTCAAATTACCTTAATCTTTTAAGACAATATTTAAAATGACTGCTCGTACACCAACATAATGACAGCTTCTTCCTCAAATATGGAAGTAACATAGTTGAAATCTGTGCTAATAAAACCTATATTTGAAATAACATAAAAAAACAAGTTACTAAACTCAAACTTATTAAAATACTTCAGCCTTTTTTTCTTATACATAACTTTAGATTTTTGATGATCTTTGATGATTTGATGATGATCTTTGCAGCATCGCAGGAGATCAGTGTTCGAGTTAGACAGAGTGAGTTGCTTTCGATGCGCATTAAGTGTTTGATGAATGGGTAAAAGATAAAGATGTTAGTAAGACCTCCAAATGTAGTTCACTCCTACAACCTAAGAGAATTAAAAGACAACTAACAGGAATTTTAATAGGTGTATGCTCCGATGGAAAATTCCATTTTTCCTTTATAACTTAGTTACTACCACAACTAAATAATTGCTTTGAACTTTTTAACGTTGCTGTGAATCCCTCAACTAACCTTTGTTAGTTATGCAGTAGTGAAGAAGTAATATTGTTGCATTTCTACACATTTAGCTTAATTGTTTTCTCTCTTATACACCAACCACTATAAGTAGTAATTTTCCAATAATTGTTTAACAATTCATTTAAACATATATAGATTTTTTTTTGTTATTGTTATAGTTCCTTGGTGTAAATACATAAAAGAATAAAAGAACCCCCCCATAAAAATTAGAATAGAAATATTCGGCATCTGTATAATTGAAAATGAAATAAAATTGAGAGGTTTGATTAGATTCCATGAAAAACAACTGAATGGTGATAAAAGCAAACTATCCAGATTTTATTACGGATAGATTTTTGATCAGTTTGTATGTTTTCCTGAAAATCTTTTTTTTTTTTTTTTTTTTCTCAGGTTAAAGGAAGTGAAAGCAAGGCTGAGTCAAAAGAACAGAAGGAGATGGCGCTGGAGGAGAAACCTGGTGTTAAGAGCAGCAGCTCTATCGTTCCCTGCTTTCTGTTTGTGGAGGTAAGCAGCATGGTGCATTTTACATACTATGTTGGCTGAAACATTCGCCACATAAGTAAGACAGAGCTTTCCTTTTGTCATAAAGATCCAGCTAAAGGTAGTACATCTGTTGTGAATCCTGTGTTTCTATGGTTTCCCACTCTGCTTCAGCAGCAGCATCTTTCTTAGTCAGAATTCCAGATTTAAACTCCTTCAGATCCTCCAGCTTTTCTCCACTACTTTCATCTTTTCAAATCTTGTACCGTGTCATCGATGGTGAATATTTCAGGATCAAGAGGAGTTCAAGACAGCTCACTGCTGACGTTCTCACTTGGTGCATCACACGTCCTACATTGTTCTAACACCGGTGGCGGCTCAGGATGTGTAAATGGGGTGCAGTTGTTCCCCGCCATGCAAAAAGCTTTTCAAATTATTTGCAAACTAAATGATTCATCAAAACAGCAGTAACAGGACAGACCTAGCAGGATTTAGATCCGGTCCTTTGGGATTTACACCCCTCTTACGCAGACCACCATGAAAGTTTGTGCTTGTAGTAGACTGAGGGGGCTTATATTCAAATGCCACTGAGTTTCTTTCCTAAATTGCTCTTTGTTGTTTGTGGGTGCAGTCAGACGGATGATTCAGAGAGCAGAGGAAGTCCCTGAGTACTCTCTAGTTTAGAGAGTGCTCAGGGATCAGCTAACCATTAGTGTGTAGTCGAGACGCATTATCCGTGCAGTGCAGGCGTACACCAGTCACAGAAATGTTTTCCATCCACTTATTTTACGCTCATTTCACTCTGATACTCCTAAATAAAGTCCTGGGCAACTGACCACCCATAAAAGTCATATATTTAGTGACTAATAAACCATTTTGAAGTATGATGGTGGCAGCAACATGCTGTGGGGATTCTTCAGCCTGTTCAGAGGTTTTGAAGGAAAAACGAAGACAGCTGACAACAGAGGAGTGTGAATATGACTAATCTGTAGTAAGCAGTTTGGGAAAGTGTTAAAATCTGTTTGTTGGGTGTGATCCAAAAGGGGGGAACTTTTGAAACAAGATGCACCAGAACACAGAATAGACTTATTAATATCTTATCAAATAATTTCATTAAAACATTTCTTTTAAAAACATGATTTCAGACCTACTACTTGGGCCCTGGAAAGACAAGAGATCATAAGAAAATAAAGAAATTTAAATTGTTCACAATAAAAAATTAACAAAGAAAACATGTAATACAAGAAGAAACAAATTAGTAAATAAAAATAAAAGCAAACACATTAATACTTCCAATTATAAGTAAACAAAGGGTAAAAGAAAAAAAGCAAGCTCTTCAAACAGTGGAACATTGTCCAATTTCATATGCTTTTCAATGGGGCCAGCGGCAAAACAAGACAGCATAGCGTCCGATTTTATTTATTTTGACAAATAAATAAATACAGCGTTAAAATCAGGTGACTAAAGGTGCTTCTCTTCCAATGATCCGGAGCTCCGATTGGGTTGCCACATGCGTGAGGGGCTTGGCTAAGCTGGAGCTGCTAAGCAGTGTGACCTGATTGCAACATAATAACCTACAGGTTTTTTTGAAAAGGCTGGTTTTCTGATTTCCCTTTTTCATAGTTTGAATCGTTTTTAGAGGCCCAAACCGAAGTAAAAGAAACATGCAGAAAGTAAACTTTGCCTTAAATGTCCCCTTTAATTGTTATAACCCAACACTAATGATAGTCAGAGGTGGAAAGTAACGAAATACATTTACTCAAGTTACTCTATTGAGTAGGTTTTTTGTGTGTTTTGTATTTTTCAAGTAGTTTTTAAAATCGGTAATTTAAATTTTACTTGATTACGTTTTGAGTGAAGTATTATATTTCGTTACATTACAAATCCCGTCCGTTACTGAGTACAAAAAAAAAACTTTGGAAAACCAAAAGGAAGACAAAAAATCGGGCCCAAAAACACTACAGTGAGTGACGTGATCAGCATGTAGATCTAGGCTACCAGGCGCCAAGTCTTTCTGTAGGAGATTGGGAACGAGATGGAGGTGGATCTGGAGAGCGACGCCGGTTCAGAGAACGTTTCACTAGAAATGCTAGCTGAAACATTGAATTCTGCTGCCCAAAACGACGAAAAATCCTTGGCCACATTTGAAAGACTGCTTTTCATTTAAATTCAAGAGGGCCAACAGTATCATCATGCAATGCCAGATGTGTCTGCCAAAGGTGACTGAACTGGCAGCATTCAATAACTCCACATCTAATCTGTGGAAGCATGTTTTGGTAAGTATTTAGTGCATTGGTACTTCAAACAAAGTTTTCATGACTAATAGCCAATTAGCAAAACAACCTGTTTCGTGGCATTGCTAATTTTGTCTAGCACAGGGGTTGCCAACCCGCGGCTCCGGGGCCGCATGCGGCTCTTTCATCCTTATACTGCGGCTCTGAGTGGCTTGGGAAAATAAATTGCTAAAAAAAAACCTAAGTATTTCATTTAAGTCCGTGTTTCCCACAGCACTTTATACCTTTATAAGGGTCTTAAATGTCACGTGTGACCTGTGTTATCTTGTCATTACATGTGTATACATTTGTATAGATTTTTCTTTAACTAAAAACTAAATAGTTTTGGATTTATGACTCCTTGTCCTATTTTCACTACATGGGAGAGATCCCCTGCCCCGTTCAACAGTTTTTTTATTTTTATGTAAGTAAGTAACTTTTACTTAAAATACATTTTAAATTAGCTACTTATTACTTTTACTTGAGTAATTTTTCTGATGGGTAATTGGTAATATTTCATCCAAGTACTGGTACTTTTACTTGAGTATGATATTTTAGTACTTTTTCCACCTCTGATGATAGTGTTACTAAAGCAAAACCATGAAATTGTAATTGATGCTAGTATTCTATGATGGCTGAAGGCTTCCCTAGATTTAAATCCCCTAGATTGCCTCTGAGTCCCCTGAATAAGACCCTATAGGCTCCTGAGCAAGAGACCTTTACTGTCTGATTCCTCCCTGAGCTCTTCAGTGTCCACCCCCTGCTCCCTAAAGGATGAGCTGAATGCAGAGGTGTTTTTTATATTTTTATTTATTGGGACATAAAAAGTTGTAGTGAAAAATAAAAGTGTTAATTATTATTGTTATTATACAGCATGTAGGAATCTGGTTTATACATTAAATGGAGAAAGGACCTTTAACTTTTTAACAGATTCTGACTTATAGATTAATCTTTTCTAGATGTAGACAAACATAAGCTGTCTGAAACTCAGTTTAAATTTTAAACTTAAAATATGAAAGCAAATATAGCCTGTGTTCTATGTTGTTTATCAATTTAATCTTGGAGTACTTTTATTCAATTTCCATGTACCTAATGGAGCATCTGCGATCTGCTGGCTGCTCCTCACATCAGTACCTGTTTCTGAAAACACTGGGTCTTCGATTACAATGCACTGAAAAAGCTCTTTTATTAGCACACTTCACCAAAGGCCTCCCACACATAAGTGCTCAGGTCTCAGTCAGTTCATCTTTTTACTCTACATAGATGTGCGTGTCTGTATGTGTATAAGAGACACAGTATTTCTGTCTGTTTGCACTGGGAAAAAAAACAACTAGTTGTCAGGTTGAGTGGTGGTTGGAAGGACCCAGATGCAAGGATGAAGGCCTTGGTGGTTACTTTGAAGTTTAATGTCCAAAAAAAGGGTAACAGAGCCACAAATTCCAAAAATACGGAAATCCAGAAAACTCACATGAAGGGAAAGAAGTAACGACAGTCAGGTTTTTCCTGTGGATGTTTTTTACAGTGAGGATTAAGTGAGGTTAAAAAAAGTCATGTTGTCATGTTGTCCAACTGCTGCTATTTACCTACTTGTTAAAGTTGCGATGGGTTTGGTAAATCAATGTCTGATCGGGTTGGTGTTTGCTCTATTCTGTGTTTTTTTTTTTCTTCATATTTAGGGTTTGTATCGGTATTGATATCATATTATTGTCTTCTTTGTATTTTAAAGCCGTAGGAAAATAACAGATATTCCTCTGAATTTAGAGGTTTTTGATCACAACCTTTTTTTCTTTTTTCTTTTTTTTTTTAAGTTTCATAGCCTGTAGAACATGTAACACTTGCAATAAGACATATTTTTCAAGCTGAGACACCATTTTCTGCGAATATTTTAGCAGGGAATATATCCAGGGAACAGAGTTTCCTTTTTCACCCCATTACAGGACAAAGGTGAACAAACTAAAGGGTAATTTTAGATAAAAGTAAGACAAACAAAATGTTATTCGCTTCAAAAAGTGGCTTTTTTTTTCCAAAAAAAAAACAACAGTGTGTTCAAAGTGTGTTTTTTTTAATGTGATGTACAGCATTAATTCAATATGAAGAACGTTGCCACCTATCACAATGATTCCAGCCCGTCACAGGCTTTAGTGTGACGGGGTGGAAAATCTAAAGCAATATGGCTCAATTTCTGGATATGTTAAAACCTGATGGTGCCGTTAGCCTTGAAGTACAATGAAAAATGAATGATTAATACAAATATAATTTCAAAGTTTGATTAACAAATTGCTTTCCCCACTTTTTGTGTGTGACGGGGTGGATATGCTATGGTTAACAGAAAGGATTTTGAAGGACAAATGTACCAAAAATGTTGTTAAAGAAAAAACAGAACTCACCATTGTTTACACTTCTCTTCTTCAAACTCTTGAATGATGTCACTTCATGTTAGTGATGTCACTTCTAGGAAGTGTATTGCATTTTGGCTCAAAATAACATTGGTGTGACGGGGTGGAATATGAAATTGATGGACATAGAAACATCATGCTATTTCAATAAAAAAAAAAGACATTTTAATATAATTAACACATTTCCTATTAAGAGAAAAGTATTTCTAGCCATAACAACAAAACATTTTTGAGATCTATTTCATATTTCTTACGTTTTACGTTACACGAATGAGAAAAATGGTCAGAGCGGACATGAGAAAATGATTGCAGTTTAACATAAAAAGTTTTAAATGTGCAAAATATATATTTATTA